CATGTCTGTTATAGCTCTCAAGGCAAATAGGATGCAACTACTTATCCCACTGATGGCCGAAGCAGCATTAATCTCGCATGTCTGTTATAGCTCTCAAGGCAAATAGGATGCAACTACTTATCCCACTGATGGCCGAAGCAGCATTAATCTCTCCAGCTTTAAGAATCCAACACTATTCACATGAACCATCCAGAGCCAAATTGCTTCAAGTAAAATATAAGGCCGAGCAATCTGGCTGAACCTTCTGATTTGCTCGTTCGAGGTTTGCATGGAGTCATTAGGATCAAAAACCACTTCCAGTCACCAAGTTTGCAAAAGGTTCAAGGCCCAAATAGCCTATCATGGAACCATTGAATTTTGTTGGGCATAAGACACTATATAACCAGCAGATGCACCACACATTATCTCTGCTGCTAAAGCTTTTTCCTTAAAGTAGATCGATGTAGATACAAAGTAATATTAAGTAAATGATATGTATGTGTTCAGAATTAAATTTCAAACAATAAGCTTAAAAGCTAGAATTTTGCTTAATTTGCCTTCAAAAAGGTACCGACTGCATGTCATATCATTAATATTCATACATCTTCATTAGTTCAAAGGGGTTTCTGCTGATATGTCCCTCAAATCTTCCATACTTGCAAATTTACCCCTCAAATCTTGGTTTTTGCATATTACCCCCCAATTCCCTCAAATTGGGTTTTCCTATCCGTTCCACTTAAAAATGTTGGTTTTCAAGCATTACAATGTTTATTTTTTTCCACAATTTCCAATCAATTTACAACAATTTCTCATTTAAAAACTAAAATAATTAAGTGGGAGGGCGTAGAAAAGCTCAATGTGAGAGAATTGGGGGATAATTTTGTAAATACAAACATTTGGGGGTATTTTTGCAAATATGGAAGATTTGAGGGGTGTATATGCAGAAATCCTTGTTGAAAATGCATTACTTTTAGTCCTTATTAACAGAATACGATATATCAATAATTAATTTTTTGGAACCTACAGAAGCACCAATATCAATCTGCATATAAAATGAACCGATTAGGCTTACTAGTATCAAGTTTGATATCAAAAGAATGCAAGACCGTATGATCTTAGACACTCCTTAAAAGTAATTAACGGTTTCATATTTAGCCATTGAGCATTTACCCATGATGCAAATATTTTCCTCAAACTCAAAGATCTTTAAGTTCACCATTACAAAGATGTGCTATGTTGTTAATTTGCCAGTTAGTATTTACCCATGATGCAAGCCTTTTACTCGAAATCTAAGACGTCTAAATTCACCATTGAAAAGATGTGCTACGTCGTTAATTTACATGGCTGTCAATAGAAGGGGCATATGTACAAATTTATTATTTTCAGAGTATTTATATGCACTTGCTATTTTTCCGAACCCTATTCCTTTTGACGTCGAACCACTGACTCAAATTGTCACATCAGAACAGCCATCTCTCTTTATATTAATCCTAAAACAGCATGGCCATTTGAAATTCACAAATCCAACCCCACTCTGACTCTTAATCAATCGCTTTCCCTTTAAACTAATCCCAGCAAGCATCAGAACTTCTGGTTTTCAAATTTTCATGCAATAACTCTTTCAGGAGACCAGATTCAAGATAATTCAAGATATGCCTGTGTGTACTTGATTCTGTGAGAGCCTCATGGATCTCAGCTTCGAGTTCTATCCTTGTATCCTACTTAATACTTCGAACTGCACGGACTATTTGCTAATGATTGATTACATCTTCTTGATTCTTGGCTAGATTGATTGAATCACCATGATTGCTTGAATTGCCGCTTATGCCCATTTATCATAATCAATTACTTGACCTAGTTAGTTCCATGCATATGGAAGTTGCTTTTTTACCAGTAACTGAGTCTCCAAAATCCAACATCAGTGTTAGATCTAAACTAACAGGTATCAGTACTTTAGCATTTTACCCGTAATTGAAATATTGTAGCAAGAGATATTCAAAACTGGAAATAAAGATTCATCACTAACCCCACAAAGAAACGCAAAGCTGGCTGCTCCTGGTCCAAATTCAAAAGTGCACCTTCACTCTCTTTTAGGATTGAACCCAGTATCTCCTTCAACAGGTCCGGCAGCTGTGCAAAGAGCCATAAAACTCCAAGATATTTAAGAATTCCTCGTAAAACTTTTTTAAGGGCAGCAAGGGGAACCCATCCACCTCCATAACCACCATCATCTCCCAGCCCGATGAAGGCAGTATTTAGTTCCCCTCTAACATGTACAGGGACACCTGTACCGGCACGTACAGGTACTCCAGAGACCCCTGAAGGCATACCAGATGATGGCAAGATAGCATTGCTAATTCGGCTTAGGTTGCCAGTAACCTGGCTTCCAGTTATTGAATTTGGCCTAGGCATTCCACTACCTGGTCCCACATTTGGGCGGATGCTGTTAGGTGCCATTGGTTGAGTTCCTGGACCTTGGCTGGCACTGCCTGAGTTGAAATGCCCACCTACATGTGAGCCACCAGCTACATTGGGTTCCAGAGCATTAAGACCCTGAGCAACATGCTCCATGATAAAAGGTCTGAACTGTGGGCATGGCAGTGATCCACCAGCTGCAGGCCCCCCTTTGGGAGGTGTTGCTGGCTGCAACCATACTTGATCTCCAGCAAAACAACGCATGTCTACAGCAAATTTCTTACGGTATATAATCCTTATCCAATATGGACCTCGTAGAACTATAGAGACGTCGATAGGTAATAATGAGCTTGGAACAGTGCCTGAACCACCTCTGATGGCAGCAGATAAGGTTGCAGCATGATGAAGACTCTGACTGCCAAGTGAGGAGGCAACAGCATTTCCTACAGGTGCAGAAGATACAGATCCGATAGCAGATGTTGAAGGAGCACTTGGTAGTAGTCCTTGTGATGGGATCAAATTGCTCTGCTTAGGAATGGATGTAGTGCTAGCAGAAACAGGACCAGACATCCGAGCAGGGGGTATTGCAGCAGCAAGAGCAAGCAAAGGACCTGCAGTTAGCCTGATGCAGTCCAAGAAGGATGCAACCTCGCCACCGTTAATGAAATCCTCTAAAAACTGCATAGATGTCATTAGATACAGTTCAGAACACTGACCAAAGGCTAACATAATAAGTGAAAAACAACGTATGCATGCACTTATGTTCTATTTATATAGAACAAGCTCCTTCCTTGAGGCGATTTCCTCATGATGGCTTGTATGAAAATTTCCAGTGAGTATTTTGTCAGAGTGACAAAATATAGTTTGTTTCAAGCCAACAAAACAAAGGTTTGGATTTCTAAAATTTTAGAATACCCTAATGAGACATTGTTAGTTTCAGAACATCCTTACTAGAGAGGGAAAAAAATTTAATAGTTAACTAAGAGAAGATATTACGATGTCTACCAAGCCCTGAACTAAGGTTCCAACTAACCCATTCCCACTGTACGTCCCGATACGATAAGTAGTACTAATATATATATAATACATAATATAATAATATCAATATATATATATATAAATATATAATGCAAATATATATAATACCTATAATATATATAATAATATATACTAATATATATATAATATAATAATATATATAGAGGAATATGGTATACTTGGGCCAAATGATCCTGGTAGTGATGTGGACACATCTTGCCATACATACACACCTTGGACGTTGGTGAGCTCCACTCTTCAAGTCTTGATATATGGACAAGATTGTCCACATTCACTACCAAGGATCCTTTGTACCAAGTATACCCATTTTTCTCATAATATATACTATATATATATATATATAGAGAGAGAGAGAAAGAAGAGAGAGAGAGAATATTGGGCTATACTGGGCCAAAGCATCCTGTAGTGATGTGACACATCTTGTCCACTACATCACACCTTGAAGTTGGTGACCGTCCATCTTCACAGGTGTGATGTATGGACAAGATGTGTCAACATCACTACCAAGGATCCTTCCGGTACCAAGATATACCATTTTTCTCATAATATAATATATATATATATATATATTATATATATATATATAATATATATTATATATATATATGAGAAATCATGGGTATGTTTGGTACCAAGCCACAATTTGTACTTGTAGTGATGTGTCACATCCTCATCCACTCATTACCCATATGAATGTTGTCCCCAATTTGAATGACGTGGAGGGAGATATGACACTCACTACAAGCAACAACTTTTTTGTGCTTCGCGTACCAGCATACCCATTTTCTCTCTCTCTCTCTCTCTCTCTCTCATATATATATATATATATATATATATATATTATATATATTATATATATATATATATAATTCTAGCAGGAGCCACATTAGATTGAATCTAAGAATGCCACCTTCAAACATTATATTATTTACTTGATCCACTCCGTTCATTTTGATCTAAATATTTTGGATGACATATAAACTAAAACTTAGCATATTGCGGTTGTAGTTACTAATGCATCAAAGTGATAGTAAAAATTAACGGTTTTACGACAATTACAACTAAAGAGACAATGAAAATATGCTGTTAGAAAATATATCAAACATCATCGATTTTCATATGTATAGATGTTTTAAACGCGCATTTTAGGATCTGATCATGGAGCGAGATATTACAAATCAGCACAATCCATATATTGAGGACGTGATCTTTAGATTCAATCTTAGGCTGATGCGCCTCCTGTGATCATATGTTTCCCTTTATATGTAGTATGTATATATTATATAACTATAATTAATATAAATAAGTATATGTGATAATGTATACTGCATCTCGCCGAAGAATATGTATAATGTATATGTTATATAAATATATAATATAATATATTATAATAATATATAGGAGAGAGAGAGAGAGAGAGAGAGACATCTGACATAGGTATACACGTTGGTCATAGGAGGGGCATTTTCGCTCCAATTTGAAAATGATGTGCCACAAATCCCCACTATGTGAACAATATATCTCTCGTCCATATTTATTCCACATAACGTCGGTGCGGGATTGCTGCCCATATCATTTTTCAAGGAGGAAAATCCTCTCCTTCGACAATAGGACAAACCCATTAATCTCAATATATAATATAATATGGTACTATATATATATAATATACTATATATAATATATATATATACATATATAATATAATAGCTCTACAAGTAAACTAGTTTTTTGAGCGGATATTAAAATAGCACAAATCCATATATTGAGGACGTGATCTTTAGATTCAATCTAGCTGTGCGCCTCCTTGAATCATATGTTTCCCGTTTATAATGTATATGTATATATATATAATATAATTAATATATATATATTGATAATGTATACTGCTTAGATTGTATAATGTATATGTATATATATATATATAATATATATAATAATATATAGAGAGTAGAGAGAGAGAGAGAGAGACATGACATAGTATCCGTTGGTCATAGGAGGGGATTTTCCTCTTGAAAATGATGTGCACAAATCCCACTATGTGAACATATATCTCTCGTCCATACTTTATTCCACTACGATCGGTGGGGATTGCTGCCATATCATTTTTCAAGGAGGAAATCCTCTCCTTCGACATAGGACAACCCATTAATCTCAATATATAATATAATATACTATAATATATATATACTATATATATATATATATATATACATATATAATATAATAGTCTACAGTAAACTAGTTTTCTTTTTAAAATGCATCATCAGGGATTGCTTTGTGACTGAGGAAATACCTTGCTAGAATTTTTCGTAGCATTTCTGAAAAAATAAGGTCATTCATAGTTTCATTTAATATCAACAAGGCACAAGGAATGACAAGCTAAATCCCCAGAACATTGCAATCATAATTATTCTCTGCTTGGTATTTTAACCAAAAAATAGGAATTCCAGTATTTTGAACGGTGCTATCAAGCACAATAAATTATCAGCAAGTCGTCAAGGCTAACTTAATTTAAGAAACTTTAAAGATCAAGAAAATAAACCCCCCAAAAAATGTTCAGCATGACAATTGGAAATTGTGTCTCCATTAATGTTAATATTAGTGCAAACTAAGAAGGAAATAGCTGGAATAGGTCATGTTCAAACACTGTTCCTATGTAAATGTATATTCTGGTTTTCATAAACAGTAACAGAAAAAATGCAAACATCTAAGATTCGACATCATCATATAGCTATGTTACCCGGGTACTTCTATAATGAAGCCGTACCCGTACCGGACACATACCCGACACTTTCCCGTACCCAAACTTCATGAAAACTTCTTGAATATATGCATGCATTTATTACAATATGTACTCAATTATATGATATATGTGTTAATTTAAAACACTTGTCAAAGACTTCCTGGACGTAGAGCTTACACTTCACATCCGTCATTTGAAACTAATGAGATACGGTTTGGATTCGTTTCAATCCATACCCAAGTTTAAAACTATATAGTTAATGGGTCGTTTAGATATCTAGTAAAAAAATGAGTAGTTTACAATTCACAAGTTTAAAACTATATAGTTAATGGGTCGTTTAGATATCTAGTAAAAAAATGAGTAGTTTACAATTCACGATAATCAATATGATAAAAGAAACTCAAAAATGTGATCGGAATTTTAATTCTAATGACACGTGAAGGGGAAAATTTTTATCTTATGTACCGTATTAATTCAATATATATATGTAGTCGTGTCCCCGTACCTTACATTTTACAGTTTTGTCGTGTCCCGTACCCGCACCCGCACCCATACCAGTACACGTACCCGTTTCCATGCAACTTAGTCATATAGAATATCGTTTCGATGCCGACGAGCCCTGACAACAACAGGTAATTCACGAGCTTGAATCCACAAGCTTTAAGTTTCTCAAAGTTGAGAACGTAAACAAGGAGAAAAATTCTTTTGATTGAATAATTGAAAAGTTGATTGACAATTTACAAAAGGAACTAATATCTATAGCCAACTAATCTTATCCTAACTCTAATAAAAAAGAAATTCTACTTCTAAAAGGAAAATACCAAGTCCCAAAAGGAAACAAACAAAAAGGAACTCTTTCCTAATCTGAAATCCGAGTCGACACGAGGCGTCCCGACTAGCTATGTAGCACGGACACGGATCCGACACGGCCATCCGACACGCCGATACGAGGCAAATCCTAAAAAATACATAGGATACGTGTGTTCGACACGTGTGTTCGACACGGACACGACACGACACGGCTTCATGTTATGCGTGTCCGTGCTTCATAGCCGACTAGCACCGTGTTTCGTATCAATTGGACCTAAGTCAACTAAGCATGTCGAGTCGTCCCGCCTTTCGTATCAACTGGCATGTGTCGACTCGTCCTGTCGCTTCGAGTCGCCTGCTCGTCTCGGCTGAGTTGTGTCAACTCATCCTGTCGTCATCTCGACTCGTCTGTGCTGTTGTCTCGTCTGGTTTAAGTCGACTCTCGTCTCGTCCATCTGTTCAGTCGACTCAACTGCTTTTCTTCTCGGTTCGTCCAATACTTGATCTCCTGCATCAGTCCCTCCTTCTTCGGAAGAACTCATCTCTGAGTTATCATCACTCGAATACAACTTGATTGAAGGATGATAGTCAGAAATATCCGCCACGTTAAATGTCGTCGACATAGCCATTCCTTCTGGAAGATCTACTACATATGCATTATCATTGATCTTCTTGAGAATCTTGAACGGCTCATAACGTTTCGGCTTAAGCTTGCAGTATGTTCCAACTGGCATCTGTTCCTTCCGTAAGTAAACTATCACCATGTCTCCTTCATTGAATACCTTAAGTCGCCTCTTCTTGTTCACTCGCGTCTTGAACTTTGCATTGGTTTTCTCAAGCTTTGTACGCACTTCTTCCTGAATATTGAGACTCAACTGCTTTTCTTCTCGGTTCGTCCAATACTTGATCTCCTGCATCAGTCCCTCCTTCTTCGGAAGAACTCATCTCTGAGTTATCATCACTCGAATACAACTTGATTGAAGGATGATAGTCAGAAATATCCGCCACGTTAAATGTCGTCGACATAGCCATTCCTTCTGGAAGATCTACTACATATGCATTATCA